GAGCTCAGGGGGGTTTTGCAAAAGCATCAGTTTACTGCTGATAAAATTTACAGTCTAGATGAAAGCGGAAACACAAACGTTCATATGCCAGGTAAATTAATATTTTTCTCACTATCTTGTTTTTGACATCGTCAGGAAAATTTCAGTCCTTTATTATAATTTTTTTTTTCGGTTTCAGATAAGATTTTGGCCTGTAAAGGGGTGAAACAAGTTGGAAGCGCAACATCAGGTGAACGAGGTGTCAATGTTACTATTATTGCATGCGTGAATGCCATAGGAAACAGTGTGCCACCTTTATATATATTTCCGAGAGTAAATTATAAAGACTTCATGATTAAAGGTGCTCCTCCTGGTTCCATTGGATCTGCTCACCCCAGTGGCTGGTCTAACAAAACAATATTTCTACAGTATCTTCACCACTTTCTGAAACATGTAAATTGTTCCTTTGATAATAAGGTGCTACTTATCCTAGATAACCATGAAAGCCATATTACCATCGAGGCAATAGATTTCGCAAGAGAAAACGGAATAGTAATGCTTACCCTACCTCCTCACACAAGTCACAAGCTCCAACCGCTAGACCGAAGCGTATTTGGGCCTTACAAAACATACTACAACACAGCATGCGCCGACTGGATGCGTTCTCATCCTGGAAAACCTATTTCAATTTATGATGTGGCCGAAATATCAGGAATAGCCTACCCTTTAGCCTTCATACCTTCAAACATTCAGTCCGGTTTTAGAGTATCAGGTATTTGGCCGTTTAATGAGAATATCTTTCAAGAGCATGAATTCATGGGATCATCAGTAACTGATCGGCCATATGACGACCCATCTACATCCCAAGGAGCCCCATCAGGAACCCCATCTTTACATTTAGCAACCGTATCCACAACAAGCATTCCTACAACTGCATCAAATACTGTTGCAACTCCATCCAGCATTATTACATCCACACCAAACGCTGCTTCCTCCAGATTAAACACGACTCCGTCCACACAAAATGTTACTCCATCCACATCACATGCAATAATCACACCAGAAATGATTCGTCCATTTTCACAAGCTGCTTCAAGAAAAGCTTCCGAAAAAAAGGAAAATCCCGAATATTAACTAACACGCCTGAAAAAATGGAAATTGAAGCCAACAAAAAAAGCGTTACAAAAACGCCCAAAGCAGCAAAGAAAGAAATTGTGAAGAGAAAGGTGTTACAGTCGTCATCATCCTCAGATGAAGATTCTGAAGACATTGTTGTCTATATGATGACGATTCAGACTTAGATGCTGAAGATGATTTTGAAATTGATCCCATAGAAGAATGTCGATCAGGCTAAACCCACAGAAGTCAAAATTACCGATTTAGCAATAGGTGATTTCTGTCTCACAAAACTAACAGGGAAAAAAAAATACATTTCTATGTTGCCGAAGTAACTGTTTAATGGTCCAATACTTGAAAAGAATTCTCACCAGCAACAAATTTTCTGGCCCAAGTGGTCAACAATTTCAAATTGATATTGAAGACGTTTTGCTCAAACTTGCACCCCCACGTCAGGCAGGATTGTCCGAAAGGCAAAAAGGGATACATATTTTCGATTTAGATTTTGAGAAGTACAATGTTGAATAGTAAGAAATAGTTTTTTTACATTTATTTTTAAATTTGTATAAATGCCTCAAGGTACAAGACTAGTTGGTCCAAGGTACACTATGTGTTTGTACCTTGGGCCAAATTCGTAATAATAAATAAAATCCCAAAATAAATGTGTTTTATTGTTTAACTAATATTACTATGTAATATAATGTTCTACTATATATAATAAACTTTATTAACGGACAAGCCATTTACAGTAAATAACATAATACAAAAATATATGACGTTATAATATTAACGAAAAACACAAGAACTTAAAATTTAACATTTACGGTACATATAAATACACTGACATTTAGCGCTGCAGACTATTTAACAAATGTTTACAAGTTTTCAGAGACATGCCAAAAAAATCAAAATTGTTGGGTAGCTGATTAGCTTCTCTGCATATTCTAGCCATAGGGCAGAAGAAACCATAATTAGTCCTATGATACTCGCTATGAAAAAGATGCACTTGCCTAGTCTGTCTCACAGGGGCACGCAGGGAAATGCTGTTCAACAAAGGGGGACAATCAATTAAGTTATTAAGCAACTTGAAAAGTAAACAAATATCATAATTCCTTCTACGTGCCTCTAAACTAGAAAGACCCAGCAACCGCAACAGGTCATTGTAGCAGACCTCTTCTGATGGTATATGCATCTTATAGGCAATATACCTTAGAAACCGTTTCTGAACTCTCTCAACACAATTTATATGGACCCCATAATGTGGTGACCAAATTGGGGTAGCATATTCCAAAAGGGATCTCACTACAGAACAGTAAACGCTCCGACTATATATATAACATACAAGTTAGCCCAAAAAGTTTACCTTAAAATTCAACAATGTGAATATAACGACGTCTCGAAAAAATCCTGCCCAAGGTACAAGCTTCTCCCCTATATGTTGCAAAGTGCAGGGCCGGATTAAGGGGGGGGGGGGCTTTGGGGGCTAAAGCCCCGGGCCCCGAAATGAGGGGGGCCCCAAAACACCACCTCACACGGGGAAGAAATCATGCATATAATTTTACAATTTCGATTTCGCCATCTATTATCTATCAATTATTTCAAACACAACACTACCCTATAATATTATTATTGAGTAGCTGGTATAATTATTGATAGATGGCGCACTATCCGTATAAAAGCTACAGTGACTTTATACAAGACAGTGGCGACAATAGGAACCTTGATAGGGCCCACCGGCCCACCCGCCATGTTTTGTCAAAACTAAATTGCATAAAACTCCATAGGATTGAATGATAAAAACAAATTGCTTTTGTCAAAACATGGCGGATGAACTACGTAATTCTGAGAACTAATCAAAAATGAGACAACCCACTGTCGCCACTGTCTTGTATAAAGTCACTGTAATAAATGCATCTGCAAGGTGAAGTTTTGTTTGAGTGACGTTTGAATTTATTTCAGGGACCTAATAGGGGCCCCTTTTGTGAAAATAGCCCCGGGCCCCAAAATACCTTAATCCGACCCTGGCAAAGTGATGTTACCCACAAGTACCTATCTCATATTGTTGATGCCTGAAGGTGGGAGAGTGTAGAAATTCGTAAACCACAATATAAAAGTTTTCACTTTTTTCCTTGGTTGAGGAGGGTGTACAAAATTTATGCAAAACCCTATAAAAGGTACAATCGTTTTTAAGAGAAATATCATCAAAGTCTTAAATTTCAAGCCCTCCCACTTGTATGTAGCTTTTTACAATTTAGGAACAATTCCTATGTTGGAAAAATGTACACCTACTTTCAAATTAAAAATCTTGTTGTTATTTGGTCGTAGATAACGTGGGAGGCTTAAGATAAAGCAAAATTATTATTCCATATCACGTTTTGTCATGTGATAATAATTTTAAATAATAAATTTGCACTCAAGCAATAATAATACTGACTGGTAGGTATGTACATACCTACATAATTGCATTGTTATGCAAAAAAAAACATTAACTGATTTTACCACCTTTTTGTTTATTGCAATTTATTATTGTCAACGCAAGCAAGGTTTTGAAATAAACAAATTTTATAATAATTGCAAATCCAGAGTTGCTCCTGTACATTTACAAAGAGATATTTTTAGACCTCTTGTAAATAAGCATCAGACAACTTTAAAATTAGAAAATCTTTAATTATATAGAGGATCTTCAAGTGCTAATATATAATTGAAATCGTGACTACATTATTTTTTTCTAAGCCACAAAAACTATTGTATATGATACAACCTCGGGGCAAAACAATAACACAAATGAATATGCAAATTTTAAAAAAAGAAAATATTATTATTGAAAAAAAAAGTATATTGTTTTATTAGGTCGGCAATACAGACGAGTCACAAAAGTAGCTTTTACTCCAAAGAGGAAACGAAATTTTTTCTTTAAACGTGTCTGAATAATAGATGATATTACCGAACAATTCACCAAGTGACAAAATGTCAATCTTTGCGTTGTTATGGTAAATATTCACGAGCGGAAGTAAAAGACTTTTACTTCCGTTGTCCATAGTGACCGTTAACTGACATAAAAGTTACACTTTCACATCATGAAATTAGTAGATAAATATCAGGTTTTCTGACGTTTGAAGAAAAAATTGTTTTTATATTGTCTATGTGGGTCAAACTTTTAAATTTTCGCTGACCCAATCAATTAAAAACCGATTCAAACCAATTGAGCACAATAATTAATAATTTTGTTGTGTCGCTTTTAATTGTGTGAATCATTTTTATACAAAAGAAATAATAGTACATGTGGTGGAAAGTGTTTCATTATTGTCGAGAGATACTATGGTTGACCGAGGTGCGAAGCGCCGAGGTCAACCAATTCTCGAGACAATATATGTGAAACTTTCCACCGAATCATAGAATCATGTATACTACCTATTTATTTTAAACTATTAATTATTGAAAAAAATAAGGTAAAAATTTGACAAAAATGGAATTTCGACTGACAGTCTGACACCGACATTGACATCTCATGAAATTTCAACATAAACACATTATGTGACAATTGTGACATCTTCTTCTAAATACAAGCATTGCACCTGGATTCGTGTCTGGGTGTGAACACAGGGTGTGGAAGAACAATTTATTAGGGCCGAAAGTGAGTTCTCCAGAGGCCGGAAGTGACAGGAGAACAGTCACTTTCGGCCTGCTTTAAAGTAAACAAAAGTAAAGTGACATTTTCGAACCTTCAAACCAGTAAGAAATGTGAAAATTACATATATAGGTTCAAAATAGTTACTTATCTGCCGCATTTGCGGTAGGTAAAGTAAATTAAATAAAGTATTTCTTTACTTCCGGAAATCGCTATGGTTTTACGGACGGTTGGCGATAAACAATATTTTCTAAGACACACAAATTGTATTACTTACCACTGCATCAGGTTTTAAAGCGTTTAAAAATGTAGAAGAAATGTTCCAGGTGAAGACGCTGAACCAAGCCGTACCGACAAAAGTGTCTCCGGCATTTAGGTAGAGTACCGGAGGTCCGGTACCTTTCTGGTGACGTTCTCTGTACGCTCTGATTACGTGGGCAGTTCTGGCCATACCACCTAGAATAATATATTTTCAATTTCTGGATTCTGGATTTCTTTTTATCATTAATCTACTTTTCGTTTCCTAAGATTCCACTAAATCAGAGAAATATTTTCAGTCTCAAATTCTTCTTGATCCCATTATTTTTGAGGGGATTTTAGGACAAGTAAATTTGAAATATCCACTGATGAAATGCAGTCCAAGTTCTAAGGGTACAGTTAAGTATTTGACATATATTTCAACACCTGGTTATAAAAATTAATGGAGTTTTTGGCAGAGGCAACTATTGGCTCGCTGTCAAATGTAATTAATTTGATAGTATTTTATTTTATAGTTTTACAATAATTGCTCAATATTAGCATCTTACGTAGGTACCTACGTTTGAAATTTTCTTTATAGCGAAATTTCAATGAACTTTTGCATTGAACTTTTTGACAAAATTTGGACTGAAAGGCAACTTAGAGGCTCAATTGCTCAAAAACTATTTGAGCTATCAAACTCAATTTTACACGAATTTATAGAGAATTCAATGCTCTTTCCAATTTACCAAAGATATGGGCAATTGTTCATGACCATGAGGATTTTGAAAATTTTCCAAAGCCAAAAATAGGATTTTCTTTTTATTTTCGTGTCTACTTGAAATGGCCGTTCGGAATTGATGTCAGGATTGTTTTCCAATAATTTTTACCCGCTCTATTGATTCATAAAGTCAAAATTGAGCAAAACTAGGAAATAAAAAAATCGAGTTTTTCACAAGGGTACCCGCTTTGAATTCTGATTTGAAAATATTCAAACTTCAATTGCTCGGTAGCCGTAAGGCAAATTGCATTAAAACTTTCAGAATTTGTAGCTTTTATTAAGTTCTAAATGGCCTGTAATTTAGAATATTTCCAGATTTATAGTTTTTGAGCAAATTGAGTTTGAAGTTTTTGACAAAACTATTCGAGCTATCAAAATCAAGTTTACACGGATTTATAGAGAATTTAATGCTCTTTCCAATGGTATATAACTTCTGCTAATTTGCTCGAAATTTACCAAAGATATGGGTAATTAATCGTTCATGACCATGTCAGGATTTTGAAAATTTTCCAGAGCCAAAAATAGGATTTTCTTTTTATTTTTGTGTCTGCTTAAAATAGCCATTTGGAATTGATATCAGGGTTGTTTTCCAATAATTTTGACCCGCTCTATCGATTCATAAAGTCAAAATTGAGCAAAACTAAAAAATACAAAAATCCAATTTTTCATAAGGGTACCTACCCCCTTTGAATTCTGATTTAAAAATATTCAAACTTCAATTGCTCGGTAACCGTAGAGCAAATTGCAATAAAATTTCCAGAATTTGTAGCTTTTATTAAGTTCTAAATGGCCTGTAATTTACAAGGTTTCCAGATTTATAGTTTTTGAGCAAATTGAGTTTGAAGTTTTTGACAAAATTTGAACTAAAAGTCAACTTAGAGGCTCAATTGCTCAAAAACCATTCGAGCTATCGAACTCAATTTTGCACAGATTTATAGAGAATTTAATGCTCTTTACAATGATGTATAATTTATTTCAATTTGCTCAAAATTTACCAAAGATATGGGCAATTGTTCATGTCCATGTCAGAATTTTGAAAATTTTCAAGAGCCAAAAATAGGATTTCCTTTTTATTTTTGTGTCTGCCTAAAATGGCCATTTGGAATTGATATTAGGGTTGTTTTCCACTAATTTTGACCCGCTCTATCGATTCATAAAATCAAAATTCAACAAAACTAAAAAATAAAAAAATCGAATTTTTCATAAGGGTATCCCCTTTGAATTCTGATTTCAAAAATTCAAACCTCAATTGCTCGGTAACCGTTGAGCAAATTGCATTAAAATTTCCAGAATTTGTAATTTTTGTTAAGTTCTAAATGGCCTGTAATTTACAATATTTTCAAATTTATAGTTTTTGAGCAAATTGAGTTTGAAGTTTTTGACAAAATTTGGACTAAAAGTCAACTTTGAGCCTCAATTACTCAAAAACTATTCAAGCTATCGAACTCAATTTTCCACAGATTTATAGAGAATTTAATGCTCTTTTCAATGATGTATAATTTGCTGAAAATTTACCAAAGATAAGAGCAATTGTTCATGACCATGTCAGGATTTTGAAAATTTTCCAGAGCCAAAAATAGGATTTTCTTTTTATTTTTGTGTCTGCTTAAAATAGCCATTTGGAATTGATATCAGGGTTATTTTCCAATAATTTTGACCCGCTCTATCGATTCATAAAGTCAAAATTGAGCAAAACTAAAAAATACAAAAATCCAATTTTTCATAAGGGTACCTACCCTACCCCCTTTGAATTCTGATTTGAAAATATTCAAACTTCAATGCAAAATTTGAACTAAAAGTCAACTTTGAGGCTCAATTGCTCAAAAACTATTCGAGCTATCAAAATCAATTTTACACGGATTTATAGAGAATTTAATGCTCTTTTCAATGGTAAAATAGCCATTTGGAATTGATGTTAGGATTGTTTTCCACCCGCTCTTTCGATTAATCTACCATTACGGAATATATGAAAAGAGTCATAAATTAATATTCTATACGTTCATGCAATAATCCCAATTTTTTAAATGGAGGGATTATGGATTGAAATTTTGCAAGTAAATAGATAAAGGATTGAAATTTGAGAAAAAAATCTCTCTGCCCGCTCTTTTCAAATTTTTGACTTTGAAGATGTTGCAACTGCGAAACTAATAAATAAAAAGATAATAAAAAAAATTACAAACAAATTCCTGATAAATGATGAAACTAAAAATATATTGCATTATAATTAAATTCCAGATAGTTGAAGGTTGCACTTGAGGTCAAACCAAAAATTTCAACCATTACTAACACTTGAACGCCTTTAAAAAAGTTGTAGAGCCAATCAAGAGCCAGTAATAATAATTAAATTTTGATTGATTGACTCTCTAAACAATCAAAATTTCAAATTTTCTTACAAAGTAATGTAAAACAAACCATTAACTACTCACCAATACAACTTTTATTCCTATGATCAGGCTGACAAGTCCCAGTATTCCTTTCAGTCTCCTCAAATCTTCCGTGCATATCATTGTTGTGCAAAATCACCAAGTCAAAATCATTTGCTCTTTTATTTGGACTTGAACTACAACACCCCAACAACGCGACAAGGAAAATTACAATTTCATGCATCATTTTCTGAAAGAAAATATTTTTCAAATGGAGATTTTCATTTTACTTATATTTGATTGAAAATAAATTACAGACAACCCCAAAAACACAAAATAATGATTAATTTTTGTATATACATATTTTGTGTATTATTAAATTGCACTTACCATATAGAAAATCAAATCAATAATAATTCAACATTCGCGTATAATCAATTAGGCACGTGCCCTTACTTTTTTCATTAAGTTTATTATAATTCGGCGTTTTTCATGGTTTTTGTTTCGCGTTCACGACGTCCTCGCCATGACTGAAATTAGCATTGGAACTTATAACAGAGTATATCGACGGTGCACTGGTTTATTTTTTTCGCGCTTCCTCCTGTGGGGGAATGATTTACACTTTAAGGAAATTTTTAAGTAGTTTGAGGGATGAGAATCAAGAAAAACTACCCACTTACAAAAATCTTGTAATGATTATTATAATTATTATCCTTGACGTCTACAGCAAAATTTAAAATTGTGACAACTGTCGCTTGGCAAATACCTAATAAAAATTAAATACAATCTTTCTGTCAACACAAATAAACTAAATTGTATCATTATTATTATAATAATTAACCTTGATTATTGAAGGCGTGAAATTGCAATTTTAGTAAGGATTTTGAATAAATGCTGATGCCCATTAATTACGTTATCCAAATAAACCATAAAATTAAATTTTAGACTAAACATCCTTTATGAAAATAGCTCATTCATTGAAATAGTTTCCACGAGTCATTGGATAATAATAATTATAATGGGGTTTTTATTATTCTAAAAATAAAGCAACAATGTTTCAAAGATTCCTGCAACTCAGCTAAATTTCTATTTGGCTTTGCAATTTGAGATTTTGCAATTTTTCCTTTTAATTTTTCAAAGATTTTTTGAGCCTCTTGCAAATTGTTGTCTTGCAAATATTGCAAATCTTGCGTCGAAATTGCAGTTTCCTCCTTCAATTTCATATCAGGCAAACGATCGTATAAAGGATAATTATTTTGGCAAGCCTCACAATTGCAATGGAAAAAGTATTGTTCCTTAAGCTTAAGTTGACGATTAGATTTTGGCATTATAGCATGATGATATCTTAAAAATATTTCAATTAAAACAAATCATTATAAAGCAATATTGTTTACCCGTAATTATCAAAACACTGTTCTCCTTTTTTGATGCCTTCAAGTGCAAAAACTATAGCTGTAGAGCCGTAACTGTTCCTGACAACATTGGGACAACAAGAGTGATTAAACATGCTCAAAAAACTATATGCTGCAGCCCCAATTTCCTCCTGTTCCATTGACTTATCTGATGATTTGATTTCTGAAACCTTAAAACATTATCATAGCACTTTTATACACCATCAATTAAATAAATTACTTCGTGAAAGTTGCAGGCTCCAATTTGCAAATGGAACAACAGCAATTCTTTGAAGTCAGCTTCAAATTCGGAAGTTTTGGCTTCGAAAAAATTCGTATGGGTTTTTAGTAGATGGTAAAAAGCTGCCGCGTATCCGGCTCTGCTGAATAAATCGGATGCTGATCTTTTCGATGTGTTGGCTACCAAGTTGTGGATTTCGTGGTATCTAGAATTGAGTATTTGAGTCGATTTTGAGGCAATCGGCTTGAGATTTTAGTTTGATATACCCCTAAACTTTTTCTATAGACTTGAAAAGTTTCAAATTTTTATTAATATCAGATTTTGGGATAAAAATTCAAATGCTTCATAATCGTGAAAATAAATCCCACATAATTTACCTAAAACATTAGCTAATTTAACTATAAATTAACACACTTCTTGTAGTGTACATGAGCATATTTTTTTTATTTAGATACATGTTTGCCCCCTTTTTTCACCCCTGCCATGGCCTATTTTGGATTCAGTTGGGCCCCAAGGCCTAAGTAAAACTTCGGGCCCCCAATATATCCTATGATAACATTACAGCGGCGGCTCGTGGGCTGCGGCCATGGGGGGGAGGGGGGCCATGAGTGGAATTTTTTTTTTCGTGTACCAAAACATTGAAAAAGTCTTTTGTTTTTTTTAATTTTTTAAATCGAAATATCGAAAATCAATTGTACAATCTATGGCCGGCCTCACACAACCAGAATGTCTTTCTGAATTCAGAAACAGAATTCAGGATGACACATTGCCTCACACATATCTTAAAAACTCCGCGTCCAGTATTCGCCTAGTTTGAGGCATCTTTTGAGCGGCGTTGGTTGGAAGGGAATGATTTGTGGGGATTTTGCCATCAAGGTCCTTATTCTCAAAATTGGGGAGTTTTCATGAAAACATGGTTCCCCGGTTTCGAGCATAGACATCCAGAACAAATTTCAGTTTATACATAAAATTTATCTGTGGTTAGATATCTTTGATTATTGTCATTACGAGTTTGTTCATATGCCATTTGGTCTCAAAAACGCCCCATCAACATTTTAGGTAGAGAACGTTGTTTGATTCACTTTGAAGAACGGTATGGATTGGATTCCTCACAAATATCAAAATTTATGTGTAAACTACAATCTATAAGGAGTAAATTCCGCCTATATGTGAATAATCAAAAGCTCGGCCATTGATGATAATAGGCAGAGAGAATGATGGCATAGAAAGGGAGAAAAAACTAGGCAGATATGTTTCAAGGGCTTCAAAACTTTCTCTTAAGTGCGGCTAGATCATTCGTTGGTTAAGTCCTTGTTAGTTTACAAAAACCTTACTGTTCCAATGTCAATATAAAAGTGCTGCCCTGACCCTAATACAATAGTTCTCTTTATTTACGGTGGATGTGAATCTTAGAGCCGAATTTAGAGTCGTTCCTTGAATCTTCCTTGGAGTCGTGAGTTTAGATGGACATTTGCTACTTTTTGTATTTAACTTGAGGGTACCTTAACAGTCTCAAAGTAACATTGAAATACCCGAACCTGTCCAGGTAGGTATTGCTAAAGTTGAATAAGTAGGTATCTACTAATTGAATAAGTAGGTACACTACCAAATTTATTAATGGATAAAAAATTTCAAATTTTTACTATTCTTGACTTTTGATGTGAATCTTGAGATTCACCTGAAGGAACTGATTTCATATTCCATTTTTAACTTAAGGGTGCCTTAGCTAAGTCTCAAAGTAACATTGAAATACCAAACCTGTCCAGGTAGGTATTGCTAAAGTTGAATAAGTAGGTATCTATCAACTATTAGATTCATTGATGGATAAGAATTTTCAAATCTTTACTATTCTTGGCTTTTGATGTGAATCTTGAGACTCACCTAAAGGAACTGATTTAATATTTCATATTCAATTTAAGAATACCTTACCTAAATCTCAAAGTAACATTGAAATACCAAACCTGTCAAGTTCAGTTTATACATAAGATCTATCTGTGGTTAGATATCTTTGATTATTGTCATCACGAGTTTGTTCATATGCCATTTGGTCTCAAAAACGCCCCATCAACATTTTAGGTAGAGAACGTTGTTTGATTCACTTTGAAGAACGGTATGGATTGGATTCCTCACAAATATCAAAATTTATGTGTAAACTACAATCTATAAGGAGTAAATTCCGCCTATATGTGAATAATCAAAAGCTCGGCCATTGATGATAATAGGCAGAGAGAATGATGGCATAGAAAGGGAGAAAAAACTAGGCAGATATGTTTCAAGGGCTTCAAAACTTTCTCTTAAGTGCGGCTAGATCATTCGTTGGTTAAGTCCTTGTTAGTTTACAAAAACCTTACTGTTCCAATGTCAATATAAAAGTGCTGCCCTGACCCTAATACAATAGTTCTCTTTATTTACGGTGGATGTGAATCTTAGAGCCGAATTTAGAGTCGTTCCTTGAATCTTCCTTGGAGTCGTGAGTTTAGATGGACATTTGCTACTTTTTGTATTTAACTTGAGGGTACCTTAACAGTCTCAAAGTAACATTGAAATACCCGAACCTGTCCAGGTAGGTATTGCTAAAGTTGAATAAGTAGGTATCTACTAATTGAATAAGTAGGTACACTACCAAATTTATTAATGGATAAAAAATTTCAAATTTTTACTATTCTTGACTTTTGATGTGAATCTTGAGATTCACCTGAAGGAACTGATTTCATATTCCATTTTTAACTTAAGGGTGCCTTAGCTAAGTCTCAAAGTAACATTGAAATACCAAACCTGTCCAGGTAGGTATTGCTAAAGTTGAATAAGTAGGTATCTATCAACTATTAGATTCATTGATGGATAAGAATTTTCAAATCTTTACTATTCTTGGCTTTTGATGTGAATCTTGAGACTCACCTAAAGGAACTGATTTAATATTTCATATTCAATTTAAGAATACCTTACCTAAATCTCAAAGTAACATTGAAATACCAAACCTGTCAAGTTCAGTTTATACATAAGATCTATCTGTGGTTAGATATCTTTGATTATTGTCATCACGAGTTTGTTCATATGCCATTTGGTCTCAAAAACGCCCCATCAACATTTTAGGTAGAGAACGTTGTTTGATTCACTTTGAAGAACGGTATGGATTGGATTCCTCACAAATATCAAAATTAATGTGTAAACTACAATCTATAAGGAGTAAATTCCGCCTATATGTGAATAATCAAAAGCTCGGCCATTGATGATAATAGGCAGACAGAATGATGGCATCGAGAGGGAGAAAAAACTAGGCAGATATGTTTCAAGGGCTTCAAAACTTTCTCTTAAGTGCGGCTAGATCATTCGTTGGTTAAGTCCATGTTAGTTAACAAAAACCTCACTGTTTCAATGTCAATATAAAAGTGTTTTTGTGTAGCACAATCTCATGTTATTATTTGCTAACTTAACTAACGATTGATCTCGCCACACTAAGATAACTAAAATATCTCAAAATATAAACAAGGGCCGCTAATAATCAAAATTGGAAACTTCTCGACAGTTCGACATCACTAAAATTGCCATTAGAACAAGACAATCGAAAATCAATAATAAAATGGTGAATTAAGGGCCGGTATTTCAATGTAACCTCAAG